GACTTCACAAAAGTCAACATTGAGATTAGGGAAATGCAAATAGTTTTTATTGAATATTAGTAATCTTATTTCACAGTGGACAATTAAAATCCTTTGTTTACAGTCATGTTTTAAATTTTTATCTTATTCTAGCACCAGAAGTACACTGAGTTCATACTTTAAGCATTCAAAGTAAAGTTTCTTTTATTCTTGTTAAACACATATCAATTTTAAAAACACAGATGCTAGAAAATGTCTTTATTTCTTCTATGCAAGTTTAATGAATTTCAAGCTATAGATTTACTTTCTCCCTCTTACCTGCAAAGAACAAAATTGAAGAATTATGATTTGCATCTGGAACAAGAAGTTCATTTTTATAAATGACATGCCTCTGCAGGTATATTAATGTGATTTTACAAATATATTGTTAGAAATTATTTCTATTATAGAGCCTCCCTGGTGGCACAGCGGTTGAGTGCTGGGTTGCGAAGCTGCCTGCAGCCTCTGCAGCGCGGGTTCTATCCCCGTTCGATCCCCGGTCACCGGGGAGGGTCCCACAAGGCGCGCAGACCTCTCCTGCTGCACCCGCTGCTCCCCTCAGCAGTGTACCTGGTCCCTCTGCCTATTTTGCTCCCTTCTCTGGCTCTGGTGAATTCTCTCACCCTCCCGCATTTCTGACTGTACCCAGTGCTTGTATAAATAAATAAATTAATCTTTAAAAAAAAAAAAAAAAGAATTGTTTCTATTATATGTGACTAGTGCTAATTAAGAATATATGGATGGGGCCTCCCTGGTGGCGCAGTGGCTGAGCGCTGGGTTGCGAGGCTGCCCGCAGCCTCTGCAGCGCCGGTTGGATCCCTGGCCGCCAGCAAGGGTCCCACATGGCGCACAGACCTCTCCTGCCGCCCGCTGTGCCCCTCAGCAGTGTATTCTGTCAGTCTGCCTGTTCTGTTCCCGGCTCTGGCTCTGGTGGGTTCTCTTACCCTCCAGCGCTTCTGACTGTGCCTGGTGCTTGTATAAATAAATAAATGGATCTTGGGGAGAAAAAAAAAAATCACTGTTTGAGTTATAACTCTTTCAGAGCTAGTTTAAAATATATATATATATGGATGAAATTATGCTCACTGCTTAAGTAACATTCTCCCTTAATCCCCTCAATAACCAAACGAAGTAGATATCATAGTCTCACTTTACAAATTTTGATGATTTTGGGAGGGTTGAAGTGACTTTTCCAATCATATTACCAGCAAATGACAAAGCCAGAAATCAAACCAAATTCATGCTTTTATTATTATTTTTTAAAGATTTATTTATTTATACAAGAACTGGGGTACAGGCCAGATGCGCAGGAGGGTGAGAAGATTCACCAGAGACAGAGCGGGGAACAGAACAGGCAGACTGATGAAATACATTGCTAAGGGGAGCAGTGGGTGAGTCAGGAGATGTCTGCTGCGCCATGTGGGATTCTCGCTGGCCAGCCAGGATCGATCTCGCGGTGCAGAGGCTGCGGACAGCTTCATAGTGCGACGCTCAACCGCCTGCGCCACCAGGGAGCCCTCCAAATTCATGCTTTTAAAGAAGACTCTACACTGTCTCCAGAAACAAGCTTTGTTATATTTGTAATTCGTCACTGAAGCTGTCATGGGTTCACATGACCCCTTCAAGAAAAACTTTGTAGTGAAGTTGGCTGAACAAAGGGAGGAAGCCAGAGAATTATTCTCCATAAGACTATTGCTTTCCTTCTATCCACATTTTCTTAGATATATATTTTTTTTAAAAGATATTTAAGAGAAGAGAGAGTAAGTTTCTCCACCAATATAGGCTATAGGAGTGGTTCCTGATGGTAGAGGAGGGAGAGATTCCCTCCCCCACCCCAACCTCCAGGGATATTAAGCAATATTTGGAGACATTTTTTGATTGTCACAACTTGGGGAGTGGGGTGCTATGGACATCTTGTGCGTAAAAGCCAGAAATACTGCTTTTATTTTAGAAAATTTGCAAGTTCTTTCTCAGTCTCTTTGAAAAGTATATAAATCCTTTCAAATGTCTAATAAACCTCCTGCTGGCTTTATGACCCAGGAATATCTTGCTCAAAGACCTGGAAACCACCTTGAAATGTAATCATTGAGATCATGCTTTATCTTCCAGTTTCTAGGGGACACCTCACTCCCAAGAGGCAAAACTACCTTTTGTCATATTTTTCCTTTGGTTAAAACTGATTAATTAACACAGTCACTCCAATTACCAAATGAATTTGATATGAATGTGACAAATGATGCTGTCAGTCCTCTACCTTAAGGTCTAGTTATTGCTTATCTGGAGAACAGGCATATATTAGTCAAGGTTCTCCAGAAGAACCCATAGGATGCGTGCATGCATAAAAAAGAGATCCAGTGTAAGGGATGAGCTCCTGTGACTATGGAGGCTGTCAATTCTCAGGATTTGCAGGGAGAGCCAGCAAGTTAGAGATCCAGGAAAGCCAGTGGTAAGGTCCAGTTGACAATAATACTGCTCAGGAACAGCAAGCTCAAGACCCAAAAAGAATCAATTTTTCAGGTTGAGTCCAAAGGTAGGAAAAAATTCAATGTCCTAGTTCAAAGGGTAGTCAGGCAGCCAGAATTGTTTTATACACAAGGGATCATCTTTTTATTCACCCATTAGCCATCACAATGTATGGAATAGGTCTTACTTGCTATAGAAATGTTTAAGATTTCTCTATTGCATTTGTTTAGTCTTTTTATGTTTTTGTAAGATTTATTTCCATTCTTTCAATCTCTTAATAAATTGCCTGGATGTTCGTCACATTAATTAAATGCTTATTTGTAATAAAATTGTTTCATTAACAGCCATCACGACAGACCAAATATGAGCAAGTTTCATAAAGTTCCTAAAACTCCTCACAGAAAATAGATTGAAAAATAAAATCATCCTGATGTCACTAGTTAAATATTTTCACAACTATCACAGGAAGAAGCTTTAGAAGATTATTTGTATATCTATTCTTTGCTCACCACAAATAGAAAAATGGAATTTAAGGAGGCATTTAGTATATACATTTCAGGAAGAACACCTTCCCTTTCCGAATCAACCCTAAGACACTACATCTTGAATATTAATGTCTTATTAAACTTGATTCCCTGACCTAGATATTATATTCACTTGGTCCTGTAGATGGCAGCCTACTGCAAATTTTTATAGGCTGTGGCTCCTTTCTCCTTCCTGCTAACAGCCCAGGAACCCAGTGACTCAGTTGGAAGAAATTCTGTCCTTTTCACTTGCCCCCATCCCCACCAACATGGGAAGTGCAAGGAGGGATAAACTCGGCAACAATTTTATAACTGCGAGTTTCCCATAATGGCCACTCGGAAGCTTTTCATACAGAGCTCAAAAGAGACTGCTCTGCTTAGGTAGGTGCAGCCTAAGCTTGGTTACCGTCACTAAAAATAAAGATAAATTGTAAGGCAGAGGAGGTAAGGAAAGAGAATTGAAGGAAGAGAAGGTAGAGTCGAAAGAGAAAAAAGAAGAGAGGAAGTGGAGGAGGAATGATTTTTGATTTTTGCCAGACTCGACCAGTCACTGAGCTGAGGGCTTTGCAAGAAAGCTCTAATTTTTTCCGTAACAACTCCAAATGATAGATGCTATTTTTATCATTTCATTACAAAGGAAGGTCCTGAGAATTAGGTACATTGCGTTGCTACTAAGGAGCAACAGTAGAATTTGACTATGGAGTTGCAACTCTTAATGACTACCAAGAATTTGAAAACAAAAACAACAACATTTAAACAAAAGATTTCCTTCCGTATAGCTAACTTCTTCCACAGACTCTCCTAGGAGCTAAGAGAGAAAACTGAGTTAATGACATTAATGACAACTTTATTTTATATCCATCTATAAATAGGTGGGCCAAGGGATCATTTATTACAAGCTAGGCATATGAGATCATAACATACTCAGTAATTTCACTTTTTTAAAGATTTATTTATTTATGCATGCAAGGACTGGGGTACAGGCCAGAGGTGTGGGAAGTCAGAGGATTCACCAGAGACAGAGCGGGGAGCAGAACAGGCAGACTAATTGAAATACACTGCTGAGGGGAGCAGTGGGTGAGGCAGGAGAGGTCTGCTGCGCCATATGGGTTAGCTCCCTGGCAAGGGATAGAACTCGTTTTGCAGTGGCTGTGGATAGCTTCATAGTGCTGCATCTTAACCCCTTGCACCACTGGGGAGGCCCCATACTAAGTAATTTTAAAACATTTCGAAGTAAAATTTGTAATTGTCTTAATCACTAAAATTATTACAATATACTGTTATCAGCAGTTTCTGAAAATAACTCACATACTTATTTAAGTTTAAATTAAATAATATATATGTACTTCCGGAATGTTTTTGAACTATCATATTGTAATTTCCTGCTGCAATGATTTTATAATCTGTCTCTACAATAACCAGTTCCTTCCTTAGCACTATACACCCAATGGCAAGATTTTCAATTAATTTTTACTCATATTACAACAGCAAATAAACCCTCAGTTAATTGTCTTTGGTAGAACAAGATAAAATATTATCATAGACAGGAAGTAAAAAGCCAACTGGTTCACAACTGATTTCAGTTACAATCTGATAAATAGCATATTGTGATTCTAATATTTTTGTAACTCAATTTAAGGTTTATCCAATCAAAATATGCACAAAACCATTACAAATTATTATTAACAGTTCATAAGATAATCTACCACTGTATTGACAGGTGAGTCTTATTTATTTTGTCAGAAAGTCAGTTTCTACACTGTATTGATGTCTAAATAGATGTTAATACCAATAAAAGCTTTTCTGTATTTCTGTGAATTTGGCTGTATTTCTTTTTCTTTTTTTTTTTTAAAGATTTATTTATTTATTTATTTATACAAGCACTGTGTACAGTCAGAAGCGCGGGAGGGTGAGAGAATTCACCAGAGCTAGAGTGGGGAGCAGAGCAGGCAGAAGGACCGAAGTACACTGCTGAGGGGAGCAGCGGGCGGCAGGAGAGGTCTGCGCGCCATGTGGGACCCTCCTCCAGTGGCCAGGGAGCAGCCGGGGATCGAACTGGCACTACAGAGGCTGCGGGCAGCTTCGCAACCCAGCGCTCAACGCTGCGCCACCGGGGAGGCCCTTGACTGTATTTCTTTCCATGAGCCAGGAACATGTTAATTTACAAGTATCAGCTTATTTAATTCTTATCTAAAAATATCCTAAAAGGTGGTCCAATTGTTATTCTCATTTTACGGATTTTATCTTTCAAAATTTTGCCACTATGTTTTGGGTTTATATAGTCTGCAGTGGGTGTTTGTGCATCAAAATATAGAAATGTATTTCAGTAATTCACGTATATAAGAGCCCATGACCACTATTACCAAAAGCCCAGGTCCACCCTTCTTTTCTCATCCATCATTTCTTAAATTATTCAAAAGGAAAGAAAGAAAAGCCTTCTATTAACTCAATGAATACACAATAGGCATTACAGCTATGAGTATTACTATTAGTCCTTGTGCCCTGAAGTCTAATGATGCCTTTGATTCCTGATCCTTCTCATACAACCTCCCAAACAGAGTTACTGTCAAGACCGGTCCAGATGGTGGCTTCAGACTAAACAAGCGTCCATCACTTGACACCTAATTAAAACAGAGAAATTGACTGAGTCTACCTTTTAGTTATACAACCCCACAAAACACTTAAAATTCTGTACAACTGGATGATGAACTAATAAAAATCATGACCAGATTCTGTTCTGTCCATAACATTTGAAAGGGCACAGAATATGGAGCTGTGGAACTGACACCCATTCACTCATTATTAAAAAGCCTATAAAGCTTATAATTCACTTATCTGAGTAAGCATCCTGTGAGTTAATAAGCTCAAAACAGCAAATTGGAAAGTATACAAGAGAGATATCTAGTTTTCTCAGAAAAGATAACACTTCCAAATGGTCAGAAGAGATTATTTAAGGGACTCTGAGCTAAGTTTCTGTCACTCACCACATCCTCCCTGTCTGTCCAATGTCCCCAGCTCCCCCACAGAAGCTCTCTTTATCAGAAAAAGGGGGTGAGAGCAAAACTAGCAGGAAAATTCAGTGGAAGAATGTTGCTGTGCTGAGTGCTTATGCAGTAAGGAAGTATTTGTAGTCATTTAAAAAAAGAATTTTATTTTTTTGCTTTCTTGCCACTGTCACCATGTCAGATTCTATCTCCTTTCGCTCCTCCTCCTCTTTCTTTTGTTTTCTTTTGCAGCCACAAAGAGTCTTCACCCACACCAAGAGTGGATTCTTTTTAAGTTCCCCAAGGCCATCTCAGCCCAGGGATGCCAGAGGACTTCCACTGGTGAGAAAGGTCCTGAAACCCTAATTGAGTCTTCTTCCTAGCTCAACAGACCTAAAACGGCCCCTCATCCACCCTATAATTCCCCAATAAGATATTTTTCTTTATACTCAAAGACATACTATTTATTACACCAAGAATTTCCAGATAAGAAATTCAGGCTGCTCAGTGTCCCTCATGATCCCTCAGGACAATATCATCCATCAAATGAATTTTGTGTATTTGTCGGCACTCAGGTAGTGCTTCCTCTTATGTGAAATCAGTTAGCAATGTTAAGCAAAGATACTCACCTGGAATTCTCCAGGTGCAAGCTGAACTTCACTCAGCAACACCTCAGGGAAGACATACTGGGTTCCAAAAGTCCCACTGAGGGAGAACATGTCAAACCTGGTGGAAGCGCTTTCGACTGAGTGACCACAAGTATTTAAGTTTGTTGTTTTACACTTCAACAGAGTGCACACCTAGGAAAGTAAATGCAAACCAGTAAGTCCCAAGAAAACCAACTGAAACACTCCCCTGAACAAGAAAAAAATGACTATGGTCCTTTGTTTCATAACATGTTACTTCCTCTTTAGATTAATCCAGTTCACTGCTGAGTAGCTAATGCAACCAGCAATAAAAATTAAGGACTTCAAACCCTAATACTTTCTACAATTCACTGTCAAACAAACTAAAACGCATAAAGAATCAGATCATTAGTCTACAGTAATGAACAATACCCTTATTGTCTCTAGTTAGAAATGTTTTTAATAACCAAGAATGTCCATTTTCAGCGGCACTGGTGAGTTTCCCAGGCAAGTTCCTCCACAACACAGAGGCTATAGTTATATCCAAAAGAACAGGTTTATTATGGAAAGGGAGAGAAGGAAGAGGACGCTTGCATAAACACAGTGGGCAGAAGGGCTGTCGCTCCTGCCCTACAAAAGGAAAACTTGGTGAAAAGAAGCACCTGCATAAGTCATAGGTAGGCAGAAGGACTCTCCATTGCCAGTGCAGAAATTGCGCTGATATGGCCTTCTTCTCTTTGGGAGAGGCTCATCCCTTCGTGGAGTGGTTTGTTTGTTGTTCATTTTGGATAACTATGTAGAATTTGAAAGGGACCAGAGATTCTACAACGGCCCTTAACCTCCATATCTCTACCTGCGGTCTGCCCCGCTCCCCCTCCCCCTTCACACTCTAACAGCAGTCTGACACTTTGCTTGGGTCTGGGCCTTGGTGTCTATGATTTTTAGTTCCTATAGCTGGGTTAATGGTTATGTAAATCCCTTCTACCCCCACCTCCAGGTCCCAGCATTGTGTGAGCCAGTTTCTGATCTTGTGGTTCCTCTTTTCCAACTTTTCTATTTTTACCTTCCATCATGAGCAAGGACGGAAACAGTTGTCACCCTAGTGCATAGCTACAGCATACCATACTACACCATACTACACCACAGAACTAGCTGGTGTAAAATCTAGGCATGCGAATCACCTCACCATGTAAAAGGTCCAAAAGGAAGATCCATATTCATTTACCTTCATGTGTACTTGATCTTCTGAGCTTATTTCATGCCACCTTCAACTTTTGGAAGTTGGAAGGCAGACGCTTTAGCTTATGTTAGGATATGAACGAAATAGTTTTCAGTAGGTAAAATTAGAATGAACACATTTTCTATTCTATTCCCTTGAATTCTTAATAAAGTCAACATGAAGATACAAAGATATCTTTAAAAAAATATTGTGTATTGTATATATACACACAATGGAGTATCCTTCGGCCATAAAAAAAGATGACTCTTGCCACTTGTAACATCATGAATGGACCTTGAGGGCATTTTCTTAACAGAAATTAGCATAATAAGACAGAGAAAAATAAATACTGTATGATCTCACTTACATGTGGGATCAAAAAGAAATTTAAACTCACAAGTTTTATCCACCAGGAGGATAGACACAGACCAATTTTAGAAACTGGGGTGTTGATGCAAAGTGGTAATTTAGCAGATCTAAGAAGCCAAGTCCTGGATGGCTGTGGGAAAAGCAAAGAATCATCCCTATCTACACTCCACATTATTCAAAAGTTTCCATCCTCAAAGCATTTAATATCTAAGGAGCTAGGCATAAATGTATAGTAAATGTCTTTATACTAAAGAAAGAAAAACTGGTGGGAGTGTTTAAGTATTTTCCCACTTGATTCTCTAAATGCTGTCAGCAAGGTATTTATCCTTCAAGAATAGGATTGTCAGATAAAATACAAGACAGAGGTCCAATTGTATTTGAAGTTCAGATAAACAGTGAATGATTTTGGGGACAAGCATATCCCAAATATAGCACAGGATATACTTATATTTTTAACAACTTTGAGTTTACCTAGGCATTTGTATTTTTGTTTGCTAAATTAGGCAACCCTATTAAGGAAAGGAATGAGAAGAATTTTGAAACTTGGGAAAACTGAACATCCCGAGAGGAAGTCTCTAAAGATACTTAACTCAGAGATTTCCCCTAACGAAAGGCCAGCTAGATCACCCTAATTTGGCAAGCCACCACCCACATGTTCAGAACTTTCCATCTGTTTTTGATAATCCTACAGGATTACCACATCTAAGGAAAGTTTCCAGGTTAAGCACTGCAAATTCCAAAACATTTCTACTCCAGTGCTTTAGATAAAGGATCATTGATCAATAATAATAGTAGGGTCCTCCTCTACTCAAAGAAAGGATCTACCATTGTTCTCCTCAAGGAAGCAGGAGTGAAGAAAATGGAGTGATAAGACAAGACTGAAGTTGGAAAGAAGGAAAATCTGTGAAGAGACAATTATCTTATTTTGTAACCAATTTTTATAACATAAAAATACATCACAAAAAATAAAAATATATCACGGTATTTTTAATTTTAAAAATATGGCAATATACTACCATATATGTCACATATATTAATATAATGATAGTAGTTTGATAAACCACATAATTTTTTTTAAAAGATTTATTTACTTATACAAGAACCGGGGTACAGGCCAGATGTGCAGGAGGGTGAGAGGATCCACCAGAGACAGATCCGGGAGCAGAGCAGGCAGATTGACGAAATACACTGCTGAGGGGAGCAGCAGGCGCGACAGGGGAGGTCTGCCGCGCCATGTGGGACCCTCGCCAGCCAGCCGGGATCGAACCTGTGTTGCAGAGGCTGAGGATAGCTTCACAGTGTGGCGCTCAACCGCCTGCACCACCAGGGAGGCCCACCACATAATATTTATAGGAAAATAAATATTCTTTTACAGCATCATTTTTTTTAAAGTTAATTTTCCCGTGTTTTTGATACCATTTCCCGCCTTTCATCCAGCACTTTAGAGCACTGATTAAGAGCATTGATTCCTCTTATTTTTCCAATCTTTTCCTCTTTTCTGTTCTTTTCCTTCAGCTTATAAAGCTAATCATGGCTTTCTCTCTCTCATCTATTAGAAAAACAAAAATTTCTTCCCATGGCTCTCTCTCTAACTCCTCTTTTTTCTCTTCTTTTTGACTCAGATAAGATTTTTGAAGAAGAAATATTCACTCGCTATTCCAGTATCCTCACCTCCCTTTGACTTTTCAACTCACGGTACTCAGTCTTGCTATCATTGTGAGCCCCAGAAATTCCACAGTATTATAGTCACCCATGCCAGTAACAGTAAACATATTGCATAAATATGCTTCACAATTTCCCCCTTCTGAGAGGCTCTACTTTCCAGGCATCTATGAGTGTTCTCTTTTAAAATTCTCTTATATTTCTCAATCATATTTGCAGGTTTCTATTTTTCTGTCCATTTCCTGCCTAAACACTGACGCTCCAAAGTTTCCACCTTTAGTCCTCTGTTCTTTACTGTTTTTATAGTCTCCTTTGCAGCTTCAGTCACTCTTATGGATTTTACCACCTGTATCCTGCTATTCTCAAAGCAGCATTTCTGAATCTAATATCTCCCTAAAATGTCAGACCCATACAAACAATAATCTATATGATGACTCCAGTGAATAGCCCATAGGCACTTCCCAACCAGCACATCAAGACTGACCTAAGCATTTCCCCACTGTCACCCAGCCTGCTCTGACCCTCAGAATCTGATCTGGCAAGGAGGTTACATTTAAAAATCACTTTTGGGCCTCCTGGTGGCGCAAGGGGTTAAGACTAACCTATGAAGCTAACTGCAGCCACAGCAGCACGAGTTCGATCCCCAGGCAGGGAGCAACCCAAATGGTGCAGCAGATGTTTTTGATACCACCGGAACTCGCCCACTGCTCCCCTCATCAGTGTACTTCAGTCAGTCTGCCTATTCTGTTCCCCACTGTCTCTGGTGAATCCTCTCACTGCCTGCACCTCTGGCCTGTACTCCCCATTGTTGTATGCATGAATAAATAAATCTTTAAAAAAAAATCACTTTTGCCAGAAACTTGGCACATTCTAGATCCTTCATTCTGATTTCCTGTTTTGTACAAATTAGCTACCACGCTGAATTTTCAAAATATTTCTTGACTCCATACCCTGCTTTTATTTTCTTTAAAGATTATTTTTATTTTGGGGCTTCCCTGTTGGTCCAAGGGGTTAATAAGCACAGCACTGTGAAGCTATCCACAGCCCCGCACCTCTGGCCTGTACCCCAGTTCTTGTACTCATAAATAATAAATAAATCTTTAAAAAATATTTTTTTTACTTTTATTTATTTATGCATACAAGAACTGGGGTGCAGGCCAGAGGTGTGGTGGGGGTGAGGGGATTAATCAGAGACAGAAGTGGGAGCAAAAAGGTGGATCTACTGAAATACACTGCTGAGGGGAAACAGCAGGCGAGACAGGAGAGGTCTGTTGCACCATATGCAGGTTAGCTCCCTGGCCAAGGATCGAACTTATGCTGCAGTACTGTCAATAGCTTGATAGCACCGAGATTTTAACCCCTGGGCCACAGGGAGGCCCTACCCTGCTTCTATTTTTAATAACATAATCTTAGTCCAAGTCCTACTAGGACTACTGCAATAATAAAACTCAACTTTTTGTCTCTATTTCTATCACCCACAATGCAGCCAGGATCTACTCAGAAGCAGATCTGGGGCCTCCCTGGTGGTGCAGGCGGTTGAGCGCCACGCTGTGAAGCTGTCCGCAGCCTCTGTAGGGCCGGTTCAATCCCAGCTGGCCAGTGGGAATTCCACATGGCAAAGCACACCTCTCCTGTCTCCCTGCTGCTCCCCTCAGCAGTGTATTTCATCAGTCTGCCTGTTCTGTTCCCTGCTCTGTCTCTGGTGGATCCTCTCACCCTCTGCATCTCTGGCCTGTACCCCAGTTCTTGTATAAAAATAAATAAATCTTTTTTTAAAAAAAAAAAAAAAAGCAGATCTGATGACAACTTTCCACTGCTGAGCACCTTCCCATAGATGAGCGCTATCATGAATGTAATGAAGTTTAACTCTTAAGAATGACAATAAAGGGCCTCCCTGGTGGCACAAGGGGTTAAGATGCAACCTACAAAGCTATCCGAAGCCTCTGCAGCATAAGTTTGATCCCTGGCCAGGGAGCAACCCACATGGCTCAACAGACCTCTCCTGTCTTGCCCACTGCTCCCTTCAGCAGTGTATTTCAGTGGATCTGCCTGCTCTGTTTCCCACTCTGTCTCTGGTGAATCCTCTCACCCCCACACACCTCAGGCATGTACCCTAGTTCTTGTGTGCGTAAATAAATAAATCTTTAAAAAAAAAAAGAATGACAATAAGATCCTGCAGTATGTTACCACACAACAAAGGGTGTGCTCTTATCCCTCTAAATCATATACAGTGTTGTAAACCAATGTTACTTCAATTTAAAAAAAAGTCTTGTAGTATATAATCCTTCCTCCAGCCTCATCTTCCACGAGCCCTTGCTGCCAAGGAGAACACCTTAGTAACACTAACATTTGCTCTTTCCTGCATACCTTGCTCTTTCACAACACATTCTTTCCACCCATGCTTTCCACCCCACCTAGAATTCCCTGCCATTCTTTCTCATCTGGATAATAGCAAAATCATAAATAATGTCTCCACAAACTTAGAACCCCAAATTAGGTGAAATACATCTCCTTATTCTTACAACAAAACAGCCCACAACGCTGCATCACATGCCAACCTATACTGAAATTACCTGTTTAAATCTCTTTCTCCCCTACTAAATTCCTCAAAAGGAGGAGCTATACTTTTTCATCTTCCTATGATTAGCACCAAATATATATCTGGCTTATAAAACTCACTAGAGAGCTGATCATGTAACAGTTTCTCAGTAAGTGATTCCAGCACTCAAAGACTTTCAGTATGCACACAATTTGATATAAATTACCTTTGACAAAATTAAGCCAAGGATGTCTGGACATTCATAGAAGAAGCACCTCATCCAGTTGGGGAGTTAGGTAGCCTCTGCCTCGGTGAAGACAACAGCTGAACCCTGAACCAAGCTATGAATTATGGGCGGGGGAGAGCTATCACAGGTAAAGGAAACAACCTGTGCAAACATCCGGAGGCCCTGCAGACACTCTTTGGAGGTAGGGAACTGTCTCACTATTACAGGAGCCTAGAGGCATGTGGGCAGCAATGAGATAAGAGGATATACAGCATAAAGGGGCTTCATGTCAAGATTTTGAGTCATTTATAATTAAGAAGTTTGATTTGCCAATTAGAAGACAATGAGGAGTTTTAAGTAAAAGAGTGATATAATAATCAAAAGTGGCTTTTAGGGAGGGAGAGAGATCACAATGGGAGGGAAGAGCACAAGGGACTATGGTGATGGTGCACAGGTGAATTGGTGGTGAGAATTTTATGAGGACTAAACCTGAGAGGAGAAAGCATGCAATGTACAAAAAGGAAGATGATGTAAAATATATATAAATAAAATAATTTTTTTAAAAAGTGGCTTTTAGCAAAGTTTATAATGATTGTGTGGGAAGTGAAATGGATGGAGTTGAAAGTGTCATCAGGATGCCCTGTTAGGAGCATAATGCAATAATCTAGGTGAGCTAAGATGGGGGTTAAATCAAGGAAAAGAAGAGTAGCTTGAGAGGAACAAGGAAGCTGCTTGTTCTTAGGGTTCCATCTCAGTGGGCGATAAGAGTTCCTCCTTTCATGTTGAGGGCTATGACATGTTTGAATCTTTGCAGCAATAAACTATCACACTGCACATCTCAAAGGTCAATTTATATGTCTTTAGGGAATACTTAGAGCCAAACTCTTTATAAGACAAGTAAGGCATTAGTGAACATATAGGGAATATGGCAAAATTTGTTCAGGCAGGAAATACCATAAGTTAAGTAATCATTAAGATTATCTGATTTGGGCCTGGTGGCACAAGGGGTTAAGCACCGCACTACGAAGTAATCCGCAGCCTCTGCAGCCCAAGTTCAATCCCCGGCTGGCCAGGGAGCAACCCACATGGTGTAGCAGACCTCTCCTATCTCTCCCGCTGCTCCCTTCAGCAGTGTATTTCAGTAGATCTGCCTGTTCTGCTCCCCTCTCAGTCTCTGGTGAATCCTCTCTCACACACACACACACACACACACACACACACATACACACCCCGCATCTCTGGCCTGTACCCCAGCTCTTGTATGCATAAATAAATAAATCTTTAAAAAAAAAAAGATTATCTGATTTGATTATTATATCACTTTAAGCTCTGGTAGTACAAATAAATATTCTTCTTTCACTCAGTTTAACACTCAACTGACATGCAAAATTGCAAGTTTCAATAGATAAAAACACAGGATGCTCAGTTAAATTTGAATTGCAAATTTTAGCATACATACATTCTCCCAAAGCATGACATACTTGTAACTTAAAAATATTATTGTTTATCTGAAATTCAGATTTAACTGGGTATCCTGTATTTTATCTGGCAACTCCCCTGTCACCAAAATAATGATTACCTGCAAATAATAGCTTCCTTCTACAATATGTAGTCCATCAAATGCCCCTAGGACATAAACTTCATCTGGTCTCTTCTCAGACATCTTGTAGCTTAGATGACAGCAGAGATCTTTCTGACAGACTGTGTAATTTCCTGTGACTCCTCTGAGCTCCAAGAAGGTGAATTCATCATGAAAGATAACGCCCTTAAATTCCTCATTTTCCCTTGACAAAGCTTTTACACCATTGGCATAAGATGTCCAATTCACCATTACTGGTTGGCGAGGATGGGAATCCAGTTGCGAGAAAAGGAGTTTTCCCTTCTTTGTCTTCATATCATAATGAAATACTCTGGGAGAATCAGGTGCATAGATGCCACTTCCTGGAAGTGAGAAGTTGGAAAGGGCATTGAAATATAAAAGTGAAAAGAATTGCAAAATTATTATTGTTGTTTTAAAATCATATTAGCATCTTCCTCTAAACATGATATTAATTATTGTAAAATACCTTGATAAAGACAGGTGAGAGGAAATTGAGTAGAAACCAAAAGAGAGTTTCTCATAAACAGTGGTTTTTGAAAGAAAAGAAAAAAAGCATACATTCAAATTGAATAAAATAAAATTAAAAAAAATGAGGTTAATTCAACAGCACATGCAAATGTGGAATACTGAGTTGAAGATCACTGTATTGAGGGGCATGTGTTAGTTAGAATAATTTTTTTTCTTTATATCAAGGCTGTAAATTTTAAAGCTCATGAATTACCTGTCATTTTCTTTGAGGGGTAGTGTATATTAGATGCCAAAAAATTGACTCCCATTCCCATAGCCCAAGCTGAGTGAAATTCAATAGCTGACAAATGTGGCAAAACATTCATCCAAGCTGTGGGGAAGAGAATGGTGTCCACATGGAAATCTTTCACCAAAGTAACAGCAGGATCGTGGAAGAGTATATCGAAGCATGTAAAAACGCCAAACTTCCCAAAGGTAGTGTTGAAAGTCACCACTTCAGTCTCTTTGGGTACATTGAACTGGTCTTCATTCAAGAAAAGGTTTTGCTGCAATAAACAAAAGATGAAGAAGAGGAAGGATCTCTTTCAGGAAGATGGCCCGTATATTACTGTCTGAAAAAATACAAAATCACATCTGTTCGACAGAGCCACTCTCATCTATGACCACTCTCTTCACAGAGAAAGAGCAGTATGTTCGAGAATAATTGATTACCGCAGTTGATGGGAGCCCTTGGTTCAATCTCTGTTTTTAGAGATGTGCACAGGGGGTTTCCTTATGTATTAAGATCTTCTTGAATCCTCTAAGTCATAGAACGAAATAGATCATTTCTATCAATATTTGCCAAGGACACGGAACTATTTTCTGTGAACAAAGAATTTTCTTTTCCTCTTCCTCTTCAAGAACAAGTCTATTTGGGAGCCTCTCTGGTGACATAGGGGTTAAAGTCTCAGCACAATCGAGTTATTGCCAGCCACTGCTGCATGAGTTCTATCCCTGGCCAGGGAGCTAACCCACATAGCGCAGCAAACCTCTCCTGACTCAGCTGCTGCTCCCCTCAGCAGCATATTTTAGTAGATTCACCTATTCTGCTCCCCACTCTGTCTCTGGTGAATCCTCTCATCCTCACCACACCTCTAACCTACACCCCAGTTTCTTGGATGCATAAATAAATCAAAATGATTAAAAAAAAAAAAAAAGAATGAGCCTATCTGGTAAAAAGTGTTTCATTCTATCCTTGACCCATTGCCAGGGCATGTCTTTAAAAAGACAAAATTCAAAGGGAAGCAATATATTTCAATGAGGGGGGAGCTCCTACTGACTCTCACACAATCCCAACAATCCACTCCTGTGTTCCTTAATGCACAGGAAGCCCCCTGGCTTCATTCCAGGTACTTACCACACACATTACTTTCCAATCCTTTCTCTCTACTCTGCTCTTAATGTGTGTTTATTATTATCATCAACGATAGTGATTCTTTTCTATCTTGTTCACTTTTTGTTAAGCATTCAGTAACTGAATGATTTGCAAATTAATTCTCACCTTATGGTAGCGGGCCACCAGCCTCCCCTCAGAATCAAACACCACATTAGTGTTGTATTGGTAGCGGCCATCAGGGGGACACTGCGGGTCACTGGCATTGCACGGCTTCTTGTCTCCAATGTTTGCCACAACATAAATGGAATTGTTCTTAGCCAAGCAGCTGAGTCTTTCTTGCACTGGGGTGTAGCCAAACCTGGTATTTTCATTGAATGAGGGGAAAGAAATATGAAGCTTAGTTTTTAAGAAAATTTAGAATGATAGATGTCTGAAACTACTATTTGATATACACAAAAATAGATTCTAAATAACAGTAAATAGAAAAGGATGAAGAGTTTAGAGGAAGTCCATAGTTATGGAAAATTAGTGTAGAAAGCTTTTCTTGGATACATTTTTAGTTCATAGCATTTATTACCGCCTACAATTATATATTCATTTATATGTTCATTTTATGATGTCTGTCACATTTTATAATATTATGGAGCAAAGATACAAATCTTCTTTTCACTGAATCCATGCTGACAGTACAGAAGTATCAAGAAACTATTTTGAATAAAAGAACGTAATTGAAGGTAGAAGGATTCTGGGAAGATTGTGGAACAGGAAGCACTAGGAAGCCATCCCTCTACCTACATAACTACACTGGCAGAATCTGCTGTAAATTTTGGAACCTAATAGTATATTCGAAAGTTTGAAGATGGGGTGGGGGTAGGGGTGAAGGCAAACTTGGAAGGTAAATTGCAGTAATTTCAGCTCTTAGCACACTAGTGGCAATCCATACCCTACCCCCATCCTGGTCCCGTGACAAGCAGTCATACAGTTCTGTAAAGACCTTGTAGGTAGTTTGTGGGATAGAGAGGGTAATAAAGACCCTGTCTTCCAAATACCAGGACTCTGCATTCTGACTGCTGATTACTACTTCTGATCATAGAGATGCAGACCAGAGGTGGGCAGCCACTGTTACATACACATAACACACACACACACACACACACACACACACACACACACACACTGCTGTTGCAAGTCCTTCCTTCTCTGACTGAAGTGATTCCAGGGGATTGAAAGGGCAAGAACCTTTCTTTTTTAACCCCTTCAGTTTTTTCTTTTCCCTTTTTTTGAACCAAATACTTAAGGACTAGAACACACAAAAGCAATCACAAATACAGGGGCATTTTAAAAGTCACCACTCATATTCAGAGAAAGGTACAGGTACACCATTTCCTCACCAAAAAAATAAATAAATAAACTGAGACAAACTTGAGTTTAGAATTCAAGTTTATCCCCAGCGCAGAAACAGACTGACTATAACAATCGAGTGCAAAGAAACAAACAAACAAACAAAAAGCAGCAACCCTGAGGGAAGGGGGAAAATTTGATTTCCAGAATTATCACATTATATGATTGAAATGCCCCTTTATCAATAAAAAATCACAAGACATACAATAAATAGCAAAAATATAGCCCATTCAAAGAGGAAAAAAATAAACCAACAATGGTCCAAATTTAACAAACAAGTGTCATTAATAGGTTTGTGAAAGTAACATTATCTGAATTTTCTTTAAGATTAATATGGGAGGGCCTCCCCTGGTGGCTCAGCGGTTGAGTGCTGGGCTGTGAGGCTGCCCGCAGCCTCTGCAGCGCCGGTTCGATCCCCGGCCTCCGGCGAGGGGTCCGCATGGCGCGCAGACCTCTCCTGCCGCCCACTGCTCCCCTTAGCAGTGTATTTCATCTCTGCCTGCTCTGCTCCCCGCTCTGGCTCTGGTGAATTCTCTCACCCTCTTGCGCTTCTGACGGTACCCAGTGCTTGTATAAATAAATAAATAAATCTTTAAAAAAAATTAATATGGGATCGGCCTGTAGAATATACTAGAATGGTGAGAGACTAAATGCAGGAGAATCACTAGGAAGTTGTTGCAATAGTTCAGATTCAAGGCAGCAAGATTTGGGGTAGGTGGTGCCAGTCAGTACGGAAAGATGGAAATACTGGAACTTTTGTTAATGTGTGATTTTTTTTATTCTTTATTATCTTACCACATTGTTTCAGTAAAGCAATTAAAATACAATTTAGAAAAGTGAAACATATACTCATATTCTCTCTTCACACATTCCTGCAATAAGTAGTTAATAAAGAAGCTATTGAATGAATAGAAATTTGGTGCCATCTGCTGGCAAAAGTTATGAAAGCTTTCTTCATGTAATAAATTTTGACCATTACATCCACAAACTTGTACAATTAATTATGAGAAACCATAGCAATGATTCACAAAACATTCTTGAAAGCCCCAGAAAGGATGAGAAACCACATTTATCTGTGCATTCACATAGTGGAGTGTTGAGTTCATTTTTCATCTTTGAATAGATTGTTCAACATAGTTTTTCTCTTTTTTATTTATTATTTTAAAGATTTATTTATTTATTTATTTATTTGTTTGTTTGTTTGTTTGTTTGTTTGTTTATTTATTTATTTATTTATACAAGCACTGGGTACAGTCAGAAGCGCGGGAGGGTGAGAGAATTCACCAGAGCCAGAGCAGGGAGCAGAGCAGGCAGAAGGACCGAGGTACACTGCTGAGGGGAGCAGCGGGCGGCAGGAGAGGTCTGCGCACCATGTGGGACCCTTGCCAGTGGCTGTGAATTTAACCGGCTCTGCAGAGGCTGCAGGGAGCTTCGCAGCCCAGCGCTCAACCGCTGCGCCACCAGCAAGGCCCAGTTTTTCTCTTTTTTAAAAAAGATTTATTTGGGCCTCTCCCATGGCACAAGGGGTTAAGACACAACCTATGAAGCTACCCACAGCTACTGCAGCACGAGTTCAATCTCACATGTGCCATGTGGGAGCTACCCACATGGCACAGCAGACCGCTGCTATCTCCCCTGCTGCTCCCCTCAGCAGTGTATTTCAGTCTATCTGCCTGTTCTGCTCCCCACTCTATCTCTGGTGAATCCTCTCACCCCCCAACACCTTTGGGCTATACCCCAGTTTTGTATGCATACCAGAGCTGGGGTGTAGGCCAGAGGTGCTAAGAGGATTCACCAGAGACAGAGTGGGGAGCAAACAGGCAGATTGACTGAAATACACTGCTGAGGGGAGCAGTGGGCAAGACAGGAGAGGTCTGCTGTGCCATGTGCGTCAGCTACCTGGCCGGGACTCAAACTCATGCTACAGTGGCTGCCGATAGCTTAACCTCTTGCGCCAACAGGGAGCCCCCATAGTTTTTCTCTTAAGAAATCTAATAGTCCTCAATGAGGGCTGAAGCGAGTGAGGAGAAAGACAAATACTAGATTTCACTCATATGAGGAATTTAAATAATCAAAACAAAGGAACTGACAAAACTAAACCAAAACTAACCCTAGAAATATGACTGCAGAATTGAGCTATGAGGGGAGAGAGGGTAAGAACAGAAGAAAGTGGGGGAGAGGGCCCTGTGGTCCATGGTAAAGGACCGTGGGTGCTTTAATGGTAGGTGTGGTATGATGTTTTGAGAACACTTTTGAAAAAGAAGTGAGATTTAAGCAGTGGCACATTTGGGAAGAAGTGAGTTAATTGACATGATACCTGATACACGATGTGTATGGTATTATTTTGTTTATATCAATAGTAATGGTGCTACGTGCTACTTGAGTCACATTTCGAGTTTGAGTGTAGATTTAAGCCACTAACAGTTGTGCTCTATTACCTACCAAGTTAGCAATCAACTTAAGTTTAAGGATTTCATATACGTTAACCTCATCAGCATCTCATTGATAAGAAAGGAAAAATTTTCACCCTAAACTGACATGCAATATATTCTGCAATTTACTCACAAAGCTTTTAAATTACACACCCACACAAGGAAAGAAGTTCAGAGTCAGAAAACCAGAGTTTGAACCTGGTTCCTCCATTAACCAGCTACACCCGTGACCTTAAGCAAGTTACTATCTCACCACACTCATTTTCTCAACTGCAGTATATTCACATTGAATGTGAGGATTTTTGTGTAACCTTCCAGCACTAGTTTCTGTGATTTCATAATTTCTCTTTACCTTTCTATTAAATGTGTGCATAGGGTATGAAAAAAAAATAAAGCTATCTTGAAAGTTACAATTGATCATGGATCTTACACAATGTACTTCTGAACAACCTTCCCAGGTAAAGCATGTTCATGCTCATGGCTGCATTTTCCATAATTTGTTTCTTTACCTGTTGGGATTATTACAAGGGATCCAGTTCACTTGAGGGCCTGGGATATCCTCCAAGTATGGGTAAATAGATTCCCTGCTGAAATTCCAGCCGTAAATAGCATCTTCTGGAGTCACAATAATATGTGCACCCTGTTAAAATTGTAGCTTAATTAAAAATTTACAAGTAATCCAGGAATCAAAAAGGGAACCATGAGGAACCTGAGAACATGATTCTTCATGCTTTTTTTCCCCCTCTCAATCTTATTCCTTTATTTCTCTATTTTTATAATTTGTTTTCTTTGCCTAACTGCTTTTATTTTCTGATCTTACCTTACTCATTTATATATAACATTTTCATTCTTTTATAGACATTAACAGATATCCAGGCTATTAACAGGTTTGTCACTCATTGCAGGATTTAATTATAAACCTGAAATTACCTCCCTCTCTAAACTTTGGCCAATTGTTCTGAGTGTGGGATTGACTTATAACCCAAATTCTGTTTCACTTTCTCCTCTGCTTCAGGCTTCCCTGCTCCCATGATTCCCTGCAAACATGATTCCTTTTTCTCAGAAGAGGAAACTCAGATGCTGGTTACTGTAAGTATCCAGGGCGGAGAGGTGCTACCTGAGCTCACCTGGTGCCTTTATGAAGAAGAGTCACCTGGAAAACTGATGGGGCCTTTAAGAAAATAGCTGGGCAAAGGGTGAAAAAGAGCCTCAGAATTCTTAATGTCCCTTCAAATGTTCACATAAGAACATATGTTGATACATATCTGTAGTATGTATATATTCATGACCATCACACTTCATACATCTCTTGTCTGATCTATGACTATATCTCACTTAAACCATATTCCTTCAAAGCACACACTTGTCATTCTAACTCCAGGGCTTAATAGCATTAACTTCTATCCTATAGTTAGAATGAAGTACAGAGTGTATCACATACACTGTTAAGTAACACGCAACTCATGAGAGCACAAAAGTATCCCACTTCCACTAATCTCTAAGAATAGCACTTGGTCTCAGACCCTTTTATCCTCTACCTTCCTTCTGTAGCAGAAAAGATAATGAATTTATAGCAAGTTCCACAAAGGTCTTCTGCTTCTTAATGATAACCAAGCTGTCAGTTTCTAAATTTTACCCTCACTACTAGGAATTTATAGGATCTTTCCTGCTCTAGTGACTTCAGAAGGGGTGTCTACTAACAGGTATTCTAAGACCTGACTCCTCTCTTTCTCTACATAGAAGACAACACACATGAGAATTGGTACCTGCTTTGCTGCCAATGTGATTGCTCCCTCTAAAATATCCAGATTTTGGTTCATTAATGCCAATGCCTTTTCATGGGACACAGGTATGAGGGTGGTATTAGGCAGTATCACTGCATGCTCATAAACAGCAGCAATAAAGGTGTCCAGGGAGCTGACTTTTAAGACACAGAAAATCAATATTGACACAGAAGTCTGAAGCTGAGAAGTAATCATGCTGAAGTCCAGTGATTCCTGAAAAACAGGACAAGTCCTGATATTTACAGAGAGAAAACACAGTAATCATATGGTTTCCAGAACTCACTACCTTGAATTACAAGAACTAATTTTAAGGCAACCTTATGGCTTTGTATCATTATTGAGCATATGACACTCCCTTATTGCAAGAATCTATGAGGTTAACATAGGAAAATGTGTGTGTATTAGTTTCCTAAGGCTGATGTAACAAAGTACCCCAAACTGGACTTAACCCACAGAAATGTATTGTCTCTCAGCTCTGGAGGCTAGATGGGGGAATCATCTTTCAGTACAACTTTCAGAAAACTGCAGACCTGGCCAAAAGCTTGATGGCAGCCTTATGAAAGAGACCCTGGGCTAGAGGTACTGTGCTGCCCCACAGAAAATATGGCTTAATATCTGCTTGTTGTTCCATGCCACTAGATTTGGGGAAAATGTATTATAGAGCAATAAACAATGACTAAGGCTTATGTGTTCTTCCTTGCCCCAATTTCCCATTTTGAGGAAACAAAGTAAATAGGAAACCCGAAGACATAATGAGAGTAATAATAATTTAATAATTGTAAACTAGTCTTCACAATATTTACATATGCTCCTGTCTGTTGAAGTACTATAAGTATAGGAATTCCAAAAATTCATGCTTATGTCATAACCTCTTGTACCTTAGAATGTGACTTTTTTGGAAAAAGAATTGTCATAGGTGCAATTAGTTAAGGGGAAAACATTCTAGAGCAGGGGAGACACTAAATCCAAGGAGTGGAAATTTGAAGAAGGGGAAATTTGAAGTCAGACAAGCACACAGGGAGAATGCCAGAGAAGATACCAGGGGAGACAACTTCCATGTACAAGGAAAGATCTCTGAACAGATCCTGTCCTCACAGTGTTCAGGAGGAAAACCATAGTTTATTTAGGATTTAGTAGTATGTGAGGTTCCAGGCCACCGCTGGTGGTGTTGGGACATATCCCTCACAGATGAGGAAGGTGGCCGAAACTTAGTAATTCATGCAAAGATATGATGGTTACATAACAATTTATAAAAGGAAACAAATAACAATTAAAACTGAAATAAGTAACCAAGATTTTTTTTAAAAAATCAATTCTTTGATCTTATTAGATAAAAATATGAAACAAGAACCTCCCGTTGGGTTTCCTGTCCCATATAGAAAGTGCTTGGAACTCATCTCTCGCATTATCACAGGACCCAACTGAACAACTGAAAAGCAATAACTTTTCTAGGATACATCAGAAAATTAAATTCACAGGACAACCACTGACCACAAATTGGAGCGATATGAGCTTACCTCTTACTGGATCCTGCACTGGTGTGATCACTGAAACCGACGATGACTGGCTGGAGGCAAGGTGTGGACAAGTCTGAGAGTTAAAAACCTGGAGGTGTCAGAATTAGGAAACCCTCATACTTCTGTGACTTTTTCCTTAAGGATCCCCACTACTTTCTTTGGAAAAACAACAAAGAAATGCCTGGTGCTAGTGCTTCTTACCGGAGGAGAAATGCATCCACTCTAAAGTAAATCCAGAGCATTTGGGACATAAAAACAAGCCAGCCCTTAAGGGAAACGATTTGCCAGGAGCCCCTGATCTTGCAGCATCAGCCAAGGCAAAAAGAAAAAGCTGAGGAGTGCTTGTGAAGGTCAGCACAGGCTCATCACAAGGCACAAGCTTAATCATTAGACTGCAAAAGTAGATAACTAGAGTCATATTAAAACAGGGTGGGAGAAAGCCACTATCAGGGAAAAAAAAAAACCTCTTTACAGTTCTTTTTAAACAGGAGTTGACCCTTGGACTGACCAAAACCATCAGCATTACAAGAGGCCAACTGTAATGAGGATATCTGGTTTGAAAAGACTGATAAAGTGAACTTTTACCTATTTTTACTTGTGACCCTTCCAATGATTTGTGAACATTTTGACTCCTTCACCAAAACTATTGCCTCATCACTCCCTCATCTTCCATGATCTCATTCTCCTTTTTATCTCTTTAAGAACCCCGCAGATTTTTGGAGCCTCCCTGGTGGTGCAGGGCTTAAAGTCTCAGCACTATCAAGCTATCACCAGCCACTGTCACCTGAGGCCTGAGTTTGATCTGTGGCCAGGGAGGTGACCCTCATGCCACAGCAGACCTCTCTGGTCTAGCCTGCTGCTCCCCTCAGCAGTGTATTTCAGTAGATCTGCCTGTTCTGCTCCCCTACTCTGTCTCTGGTGAATCCTCTCACTCCCCACTCCCGCACCTCTGACCTACACCCCAGTTCCTGTATGCATAAATAAATAAAATAAATCTTTGGAAAAAAAAAAATACCCCAGACTTTTGTGGCTCCACGTTTGGTGTTTCTGTAACAGGGTAGTCCCCAGGAAAGGGGGAGGTTCCCTGCCCCACCCAAGGGAGGGTGGAGCTGAGCAGGAAGAGGAGAAGCTGCAGAAGAGACTGAGGAAGGAGGCAGGATGGAGCCTAGAGACACGTGAAGAAGCTGCGCTTGTCTTTTGGTCGTGGACGGGGTGACACAGATGTGGGTGAGACCCATGGGGAGGTGACCATGGCAGCTTTTATCTTGATGTTGATTTTGCTCTTTTCCTTCCGGGCTTGTCTGCTTGTTTCTGACCCTTTGCTGTGGGTCCCCACTGGAAGATGCTTTAGACTTGTGGCAGGCTTTGGGGCCTTGCTCTGGGCCAATCCCATATGGATGGACTTTTACCCACGAGGGGACGGGTAACTTTGGGTGCTTCATTTAGAAACTAGACTCTTTGCCTTACCTGTATTGTTTCCTAGTTTTATTAAAGTTCCTTCCCATTAAAGTCTCCTATGTTTTGTGTTGATGCGGCGGATGGCAGAACCCATTTAGAATAGGCAGGTTTGCGGGGTTTGGGCTGCCCCTCTCCCTGTCCTATAACATTTCTACCTAAGCTGTGCTCCCCTCCCCAATTGCAATTCTTTGGTTCCCAAATATTTGCTTCTTTAATAGCCTCCTGAATTTTTAGGTTAACAAGATCATCTATCCCATCCCCTCCCACAACATGTTACCACTCCCACCACCTGGCACTCATGGCCTCCTGAAATATATTAGCAGAGTACATCTTCCTTAGATAAGACAAACATGGTTCTTGCAGTAGAATGTCATCGGCTGACACTGGAACTGGTGGGGCAGCAAAGTCTCCTACTACCTCACCCAGCTGGTCTCCTGATCCCTAATGCTGAGTCCTAGGCAAGCTAGGGAAAAGTAGGCAGCTGTCAGGGTCAGGCAGCGCAGGCAGAATACTCCAGGAGAAAACAGTGGAGACAAGGTCCGTAAATCCCAAGAGGGGCTAGCCAAAACATTCTCCACAGATCAGGCCAGAAAAATTCAGGAGGGCTAACAAAGGAGGTCAGTAAATTTCAAAAGAGTAACAAGACCCTGGACAGGAGCAGTAAAAGAAAACACTCTGAGAACTGAGAAGCAAGAGGACATTCTGGTCCTGGGGAGAGTGATGGATGTTGTTTTTGGAGTTAATGGGTTTGGAGTGCGGGGGTCTTTGGGTTCACTCTGGGAAAGCTTTCACCAGAGCTCCCCTTTCAGCGGCATGCGGCGAGCTTCCCAGGCTGAGCTTCTCCCTGAAACAGAGACGGTAGTTATATTTAAAGAACACGTTCCATATCTTTACCTTTGGGTCAGTGCTCTGTAGACATTCCCTACAGCAGTCTGATACCTGCTTGGATCTTACGCTTTGTAATCTAGGCGTTGGTGCCTAAGGATCTTGGTTTCTACAGCTGGGTCAATGGCTATGCTAATCCCTTCTATCCCCACCTCCTTGAGCGAGTCTTGTGGAACATCCTTTCCAGTTTTCTCTTCCTGTCCTCCATCATGACAACTGAGAGAGCCAATCACAAAGAGGACAATGGGATTTTAGAATTATTAGGAGCAAGTGTATATATACCCTAGGCATGAATCCATTACTGCATCCTCAACCCTTCCCGGTACCGGTACCTTGGGCTCAGAAGACTTTGCTTTGTTTTTATTCCTTTTCTTTCCTCTAAATAAAATTTTTCTTACCTACTCTTTTAAATAAAGTTTTCTTCCTTCTGCTTATTTACCCGGGATTTATCAAAGTCTCTCCTGTGGCTTCATGAAACACAGAACCTATGGTGGTCTAGTGATTAGGATTCAGAGCTTGCATCCCAATAACCTGTGTTCGATTCCCGGGTAGGGGACTATATCTGCAAAAGCTGTAATTATGGCAACAGTGTGCATATCAATGCCAGTCTGTGACCTTTGATAAGCAACCTACATTCTGCTTTACTCCCCAAATACAGCCTTTCTGCTCATGCAGAGATCAGGGGAATTGTCACCAACAAAACTTGAACAGAAAGAGAAGTGCGGCAGCCTCTGCCACTGAACGCCAGTGACCTCACTGGAAAAGAGGGAGGCTTTCACTCAGACACATAATACATCTGAGTGAGTAAGACCCCCTTCCCCTGTGCGCTGGACTGGACAGTCAATGACGGGTAAGATCGGGGGCAGACTAAAGAAGGCACTGGTCAGCCGCATGTCTGTGACTCCTGACGACCTAAGACAGGCGCAGTCCCCGAGGGGCTTCATTATAATAATCTTTGGCGTTCAAATCAAATATATGGCTAAAGGCCTATAAGCCCAATCTAGGCAATAAGGCTGCAGTAAAAAACCCCTCCTTTTCTTGAAAACAAGGCTGCTAAGAGCGTTGCCTACAAACAAGCCTGATGGAATTACCTACAAAGCAGTTTAACTATTAACCAGTTAGTCATTGTTCCTGAATAAAAAGCAACTTAGCAACCTGTCTGTAATTATACTATTTTCTTACCTACCTGACTTTTTCTATATATGTGAAAAATCAGTTTCAGGAAATGTATTGTAACCACATATGCTTAGCAACTTGTAAATCATTAGCTAGAAAATTGTATTCTATGCCTAAGAACAAAAAACATTGTTATGCTGGGAAAATAAATTTTGTGTGACCTAATGCCTTTTAAAAATGTATAAATATGCGTAATGATTTGAGCAAATTACATTCAGATCTTCACTCTTGAAGTGTGTCTTTCTGTCATTTCTGCACCGAATCCTTGACCACCCTGCTCAGTCTCTCATCCCTGGGTCAGCCTTGCTAATCCACCGCTGCGCTGGTCCGCGGCAGAGAAGCCTTTATTCATCACTCAGTACTCCTCCAACAAAACCTTCAAGAAGGAAAAGGGAAATGTGACATCCTGTTAGGGAGAAATGATGTCCTGAGCTAATCCCATACAGGCTTTGTGGACTCCACTCCCAGTCCAGACTAAAGCCATCAAGACAATGGAAAAGACAAATCCCATCACCACCAAAGGGAAGGTGGCTTGGACCTGAGGGTGGAGTTAAGCAGCCAGGTTGGGTATAAAAACCAAACATGTGGGCCTTGGGGGGGTTCGCTATCGCTCGCCTCCTGGCTTCACGGCTGGTGGCTCGCAGCTAGCTCTCAGAGTGCCATTTTGGGATTCCTGATCGGCGGATCGGGTAGGACGCATTTAAAACTTTGTCTCCCACTTTTCTCCCAGAGCTGTACATTTCCTCATTTCCCCTTCCCTTGTAAATAAACCTTTTATTAACCTTTCGCATGTGCCTGCAGTAGAGCATTAATAAGTCCTTTTAAGCACGCTGGTGAGGACACACAGTCAGGCACCCCGTTTTGTATCAGGGTTGCTCTACAACAATCCCACTGCCAGAGAAGGAAGGAGACCCAGAGTTGTCTGACTTTGTTGATTAATAGCAATGATACCTACTTAGGCAGCAGACCTTAAAAGGAACTGAACCACAAGTTTTGTTTCAGCCCTAGTGGAATACATCAGGAACAGGGCAAACAGGAGCACAAGCACTGAAGGGGGTAGGCACCATCTTTCACTATCTTTATATCCCCAGCACAATTCCTGGTACACAAAAGATCTAATAAACATGTCTTCTAAAGAAATAGGCTGATTCATGCCCCAGTACTGCTGTTAGGGGGAAATGATGTCCTAAGTTGTATCGGGGTTGCTCTACAACACTGCCACTGCTTGCCAAGGGATCTCACATAGTTTATGATGGAGGACAAGAATAGAAAAACAGGAAAGGAGCCCTCACAAGACCAAAACCTGACTCACACAAGGAGGTGGGGGTCAAGGGGAATAACATGACCATTAACCCAGCAGTAGAGGTCGTGACCCTCAGGCACCAGGGCCTTATCACAAGGCTTGAGACAGAAGCAGAATCAGAATGCTATAGGGAGTGGAGCACAGGTCTGAGGGTAAAGATATGGAGATTGGACCCACCCTGGAATTTCTGATCCCTTTCTAGTTTTGCCTGTTACCCAACATCAGCAAGAAACAGGCCACTCCACGGAGGAGTGAACCCACCTAAAGAGAAAAGGCCTATATCAGTGCAGTCTCTGCACAGGCTCAGGGCAGCCCTCCCACTGCCCACCTTTGACTATGCAGTTGCCTCTTTTTGTTACAGGGCAGGGAGAGGGGCACCCCAGATCCCACAGATCTGCCTGCTCTAAATAGTTTCTGCCATCAGCTGCATCAACACAAAACATTTATGAGACTTTAATGTGAAGGAACTTTAATACAATTAGGAAATAATACAGGAAAGGCAAAGAATATAGTTTCTAAATCAAGCACCCAAAGTTACCCATCCCCTCGTGGGTGAAAGTCCACCCAAGCAGGATTGGCCCAGAGCAAGGCCCCAAAGCCTGCCATAAGTCTAAAGCACCTTCCAGTGGGGACCCACAGAAAGGATCAGAAACAACCAGACAAGTCTGGAAGGAAAAGAGCAAAATCAAAATCAAAACAAAAACTGCCATGGTCACCTCCCCACGAATCTCTCACCCACATCTGTGTCACCCAGTCCACGACCAAAAGGCAAGCGCAGTTTCTTCACGTGTCTCTCGGCTCCATGTGCCTCCTCCAGGCCTCCTTCTGGCTCCATCCTGCTTCCTTCCTTCCTCAGTCTCCTCTGCAGCTTCCTCTCTCCCTGCTCAGCTCCACCCTCCCTTGGGTGGGGCAGGAAACCTGGAACCTCCCCCTTCCCTGGGGACCACCCTGTTACATTTTCACCAACTCTCTCGCTCTGCAGGGCAGCAGCTTTCTGGATGCCATGACCTGTACATGCCAGAACTTCTTTTCACTGACCTCTCTAAGCAGAGGCCGCTCTCCTCAAGGCCACCCGCCTGCAACCATGCAGGCCTCTCTTAGCAAACCTGTCCCTTTCCCTTTCCCTAATA